CCATTATAAATACACTTTAAATCCATATGTTTGCTGCTTCCTAAATCACAGTAAGAACTCAAAGTGTAATATATTTACTGTAAGTCTTCGGACCGTGTGACTCAGTGGAGAAAAACAAAAACAAAGTTCTTTCCAGGTTAAAGAAAGCAACATTTGCATCAGCAACAATGACTCAATGAATGCTTAATGCGAGAAGCTGCTTAGTAGTTGTGCTGATGCTACACAAACATCCAGGGCTTGCCACAGGAGGCTGACTTTGGCTTGCATGGGAGAAGAAGAGGCGGGTGGTGGCGGCGGAGGGCGGAGGGAGAGGAAGCGTTGGCCTGAAGCGAACTTGTTCCTTTTTCTCATTAAGAGTCAATAAAAGCAGCAAGCGGCGCTCCAAGACCTTTCTCTCCCTGCAGAGATGCACTTTAATTCCCTGTGATGTTTCCAAAGAAGTGTAGCGTTGCAGTCGAAGGTCACTGAGTGATAAATGAATTAATACAAAAGAAAAACAAAACAAACAAAAAAAACAACAACAATCGAGTTTGAAAACCTTTAATGCAGGTTAGAAGATAAACCGCGCTAACATAAACATTTCAGGGGTTTTGCTCCCGAGGCGTCTTCATAGGACTCTGCGGTACCTGGTGAGGACTGAAGCTTCTGTTTGAAAACACTGGCGCCTTGTGGAGAGACCGGATAGTGCAAGTCTAACCAACATGTGGATTAGAAATACTTCAGCTAAGACATCTGACAGCTTTGCAGTGATGGATGAGCCTCATTTTAATGTGTTAAAGATACACACTTGAACTTATTCTATGGCACGTTACCAGGTGATTTTCTCCAGACTAGATCCTTGCTTGTGTTGTATCTACTCTTAGATGTACATCGCTTTGGATAAAAGCATCTGTTTCTGAATTGTAGCCTTATGGACGACAAATTAAACAACATAAAGGGTCTCACAGAGGTGTTGGTGTGCTAACATCTACTCTTCATCATGAACTGTGATGACACTGACAATATTTCTTCTAGCAAATTTGAGTTATTTTCCAAAATTGCAGATGTTGTAGTGTTGTGTTCCCAAAAGGCAGAGGCTAGTAGGAACCAAAAGTGGTCCAAGGAAGGACAACAGGTGAACTGAGACCAGGTTGTGGACCAAGGAAGAGCACAGAAGAGCTACGAATTGCTAAAAACCCTTGATGCAGCTAGGATGGAAGGGTGCCAGAACATACAGAACATCATGGCTTTCAGTATATATGTGTGTGTGTAGCTGTGAACCTGTTCAACACCTAACGAACTCAAAATGAGCCATGGAGCTATGGAAGAAGGGGGCATGGTCTGATGAACCAAGTTTTCTTTTACATCACATGGACAGCCGAGCGCGTCATTTATCTGGGGAAGAGATGGCATCAGAATACATTGTGGGGCGCTGTTCTTTCTTGCATTCATGAGGATGTAACTTTGACATGTACCCCCTACTTAAACATTGCTGTAGACCACGTTCACCCCTTTATGACAGCTGTACTCCCTGATGGCCTCTTCGTCAGGATAATGGTTTCTACCACTCCACAAAAACTGTTGGGGAATGGTTTGAGGAACATGATAAAGAGTTCAAGGTGTTGACTCGACCTCCAAATTCCCAAAATCTCAATCAATCGAGCATCAGTGGGATGTTCTGGAAAAAACAAGTCCAATCCACAGAGACCTCACATCGGCTGCTAAAGTCTTGGTGCTGGATACAACAGGACACCTTTAGAGAGCTGCGGGGTCGAGTTCGATTTTGATGGCATGAGTGGAACCTACACAATATTAGGCAGGTGGTTTTAATGTTGTGGCACTTTTGTGTATTTTGAAAGTGACTCTGGGGGTAAACTTGTGGTCACCTTTATGTCTCATATAGACAGACTGATAAATTAAGAGCTTTTACTCCATAACAGTTTGTTGAACTTTTCGATTTTATTTTATTTTGGGCAATTAGTCATCACATGATGGCTTTTAATACATATGTGGATTATTTCTTCCTTTAAAGGCACTAATGTTACACAGATTTTCCTTCACCAGTGAGTGTGTTGTGATGAATTTGATCAGGTTATAACACTAAAACAATTAACTGAATTTCAAAAGAGACTCATACAACAACGGGAAAGCACTACTAAACACATTTGCTCCTGTACTTGTATTTTCATTATTTGCTACCTCCTACTTCTACTTCACTACATTTCTGAGGATTTTTAAAAAACTTTTCTGCATTACATCTGTTGCTGCTTCAGTGTGCAAACTATGCCTTGACTGGTAGCTAAGCTCCCTTTGTTTTTTTTTTTTTACTTCTCGTGCTCAGAAATTACGCATTCAACATTTATAAAGCACTTGATCATCATTTAAACATGTTATTAGGAACATGAATAATACCAACAGATGAAAAGTAGGCGCTGCTGCTGCCTGCTTTCAGCACTGCGGATGGTTTGGTTTCTGTTTTCGAATCAAAACGTTATGTTTTATTCTGATCTTTGATTTAAAGCGGGCAAAGTTTATGATACTGTGCCGCCGCCGCTTCGATGGGAACGGCACGAACAGCATGGATCAGTATCTTTATTAAAGTGAATCAGTGATTAAATACCCTCATGCATGAATCATACATCAACAGCCCACATTAATGCCTGATCCATGATGCTAAATACACAGATAAAATAGAAAAGTTAATTAAAGTTTCATTATTAAAAGGGGCCACACTCCCTCTGATTCCCTTGTGGATCTCGCCCTGCTGAAGAACATCATCAAGGCCTGGAAGTGAAGCTGTGAAACAGTCTGGTGCTCCAGTGGTAAATACATTCTGACATATTATTCCTTTTGCATGACAGTAGTTTTAGAACGTTTTAGAGGTTTTTTTTGGCTGACCTCCAGTGGTTCAACAATTGGCAGGAGCATCACTGCTGGTTTCAGGTGCCACAGGCTGCCTGTATTTTACATAATGGGAAGAAAAGCTGGTTGAATGGAGGCAGGATTTGGTGCTTATGCGTTTTCAGAGACACTACAACTAGCTTTTGCTTCTTGGATTCAGACCACATGAGCTATGTTTCTGTTATAGCTTCAAGCATATACGATGCTGGTGTACAGTTGGTTTTGTGTTTTCTCGCTGTAAAGAGCTGAAGTCTTGAACTTTCTACCAACAAAATACTGTTTTTCAGGCTCATATTAAAGTAACTGTCAAGTGCAGTGAGTATAAATGATGCTTAAGTATTAAAGCTATGTGTGTGTGTGTGTGTGTGTGTGTGTGTGTGTGTGTGTGCGCACAAGCAAGCAAGGTTGTCTTTTCTTCTTTACTCTGCAGAGACTTCTTTCCTCCTCTGAGTTTTTTTTTCTACACATATTCCTGCAAATAACCTTGTTTTGTCTCCTTTCTCGGGGGCATAACTCACAGTGCTTGACTTTGTTTACACTGTTGGCACTAAAAAATCTTGATGACTTACATATTAACTCACACATTAACCGCACTAACCGACCCCGAGCCAAACCAAACCGACTTCCAGCGAGACGCTCGAGCTCCTGTCGGCTAATTTTCTCTGCCGCTGAACCTGCGGTGTTGCTGCAGCTCTGCTCCTCTGAGAGAAAGCAGAATGAAATCTCAAGGTGCTCACCTGCAGAGCATTGCTGAGTTGTTGTGATTGCAGCGTACAACACAACACCGTGGATTACTGAGGGCGGTTTTAACGAAGGCAGGTTGCACTTAAACCTTTGGCATTACAAAATCACATAGTTTAAAGGAACATTGTGGGCGAAATCTGTTTGCTTTAAACGCGCTTGGGTTTGGGATAATTTGAAGGTTTAGGCATTAAAAGCAGAATCGTTCCATCAAGCATTAACCCACCTTTTTGTGTTTAAACTGACACAAGCATGACGTTTCGTTACAGTTTAATGATTATTGTGGATTTTCACCTGAATGAAAACACACCACACTCGCATAATATCCCTTTCTTTGCTTCGAACAATCAAACAAACCCACAGAAAGCATCCACTTTCTTCCACTTCCTAATTCTGCGACGGCAGTGACACATGTTTGCTTTCATTGCTTCAGAGTTTAAACAAGATAACAGGCTGCTGCTGCCGCTGGGCGTGACGGCTGGAAAATGGCAGGAAAATGGCAAAAAAATAAAAATATTAGCCTCAGTTGCAGACCATTAATGTCAATCACAGCTGTGTGTTTGTCATTGAATATTATACTGAAACCTGCCCGACTGGCTGCACTGCTGTCTCTTGCAAAAAGAAAAGCTTTGTTTTGAAAACAGCAGCCTCTTCCTGTGAATGTTACGATGTTTAGCCGTGATTTTGGTCTGATCTTGAAAAACTCGTTTTCCTCTACAGAAGCCGATCTTTGACTTGTTGCAGCATTTGTGTTTGTTTGCTCGTACACCTGTGTGCACATCCACCTTCCACCTCCAGAGAAACAGCAGCAGCAGGAGGAGGAGGAGGAGGAGGAGGAGGAGGAGGAAGAGGAGTGGCACAGGTACACTGGTTATTCTTGCTGGGTTTGAGGAGGGAGGAGATGAAGGGGAGGAACCTTGAGGACGGCATGGCAACACAAAGCTCTATAAAGGCCGAGGCACACCCTGCCGGCGGCCTCAGTTCGGCTCTACTCTGACAGCAGCACCTCGCTGTAGCCATGCTCAGCCTCATCAAGTTACCGCGAGTCTTCACCATCAATCAAGTGCCCAAAGTAAGTCCATCTTCACTGCAGCTTTACTCGTTTCAGCTTCCACACTGTCGGACTGAGCTGGACTCAGTTAGTTTTGGGTTGGAAATATAAAAAAACCCCAAATATGTGAAAGAAAAAAGTGTCTTTACTTTTCTCAAAGAGTCACATTTTGATGACATTTTTCCCTGCTTAAAATGAACCGTACTAATCGCTCTGGTTTAGAATTCCACAAAAAGTTTGCTTAAGAGGGACGGACTTTTCATTTTTGATGACGCCTTCCTCTTGCTTCTGTCAAGTCTGCTTTTGAAACAAATAGCTGCCAATTTAATGTTCGTAAATGCTCTTAAATCACTGGTTCTTGTGTATTTATGACTCCTCGCCACAGTTTCTTATAGATTTGAGCTCAAAGAGTGATTTCTTCTTCCAATATTAAGACATTTGAGATATTTTTGTAGGCTGACGAAGGTGAGAATATTCAGTTTATCGTGTCTTCTATGATATTTTGTAGGTTTTTCCACTGCAACACTGAAAATTTCCCATTCTTTGATAAACTTTATTCCAATATAGTTTTGAGAGACTTGTTCTGCCTCCAGAGTAGTGGAAGAGAAAAACAGATTTCTCTTTTTTTTCTAGTGTTACTGAGAACTAATCAATAGTTTTTTATCTTTCTGGAGGTTTTCCATGAGGACAGCATCATCTCTGGGTACCGGCATCCCCACAGCTCCGCCACCGACTGCATCCTCAGCCTCTTCCACATGACCAATGAGACGCTCAACATCTGGACCCACTTTCTGCCCACCTGGTACAGCTGACAACAGTTATTTTTTAGCGGTTTCAATATCCAGACAGATGTGTTTGCTACATGTCGTGCATTAATTATTTTTTTTTGAACAGGTTTAGAGAAAAGTGGCCCAAATGTGTGACAGCTCAGCAGACTTATTTCACTCAGAGAGGAAAAGAATCACTTTATCCACTCGATTTCAAGGATCCCCTGCATTGTAGTTTGAACATTGTGATTCAGTAGCATACCACACACACGATTCGGCCAGTTTTCAGTGGAGCAGGCAGAGTGTTTATGTTTTTCGTGGCAGACAGCTTGACTTGCTTCATCACAAAGGAATCTTGCACAGCTTGTACAACCTGAAGGACAAAGAGTTGTCAGAATCATCTAACGTGATATCGTGTTGATGTAAATATGGGCATTTTTCATCGTCAAAGATCTGTAACTGTTATTGCACAAAGACAGGATTTATTTTATCAGTTCTGGCGCATTGACTGACTACTTATGATCTCACATCCAGAGCGAGCAGGAGATCGGTTGACTTTACATTCTGGTAAAGAGTTGTTGGATACTCGAGGCAGTTTTTTTTTTCACGCGACATCTATGTGTCAAATCATTCAAAGGACCTGCAGCCGCCAGGTTTGTTTTGAAGTCGACATCCAGGCAACTCTGTGTGACCTCCTGCAGCGTCGCACTGCCTCCCTGCGAACAGGCTTTTATGTGGCAAACGTCACGGAGGTTTGTTTGTATGTGAACAATACACAACGCATTCAGTTTTTATTACAATTACTCAGCTTTGTCCCACAAACTCTGACAAAAAATTGGGAGTTTTTCAGACTTAAAAATAATATAAAGACGTCAGACAAAAAAGTCATTTTCTTGCTTCAATAAAGTGAGACCTTAGGATCTTTTGTTCTTGACTTGTAGAACCTTTTCAGAATTTGTCGAGCTAATTAATTAGTCAACTTATTGAGTCAAGTTTGTTAGAAATAACTTATATTTCCCAGCATTTACAGAAGCATACTTTTTTTTAATGATTAGTTATGATGAAAGTTTCTTATGTGTCTCTTTCTAATCAGGCTTTTTTTTGTACAGCACTTCTCATACAAATAGAAAAGAACACAAAGTGCTTTCCAGACGAAAAGGAAAATAAAACTACAAAGTCAGTGCTAGTAAATGCATCTTAAAATTAATTCTAAAGCAGACAAGCAGCCAGTGCAGATACTTTGAATTGCTGTAATGTGTGCTGTCCCTTTGATTTTAGTCAGCACACATGCAGCTGAGTTTTGAAGTGGTTATCTTATAGTAGTAGTGTAGTAGTTATATTATGTTATATATAATCATTTTGGAGAGACTCGATAGCTGAGTATTAAAACAGTCAGTCCTGCAGATAATAGGTATGCATTATCCAGCGGTGTCTTGGTATTGTTTACAAGAAAAAACGGTTGCACTGTTTATTTTTGCATTGTTCTTCAGATGATAAAATGCGTTCTTATTTACTTTTCTAATGTGAGGCTCAAAACTGAGATCAGGATCAAACATCTCTGAGAGTTTGCACTTGTGGACATGGTTTAATGTCAGTGCTGCCGTTTCAGGTTGAGTTTCTCTCTCTGAGGTTCAGTACCTGTGAGCAACACTTCAGTTTTGTGCTGTTTGAGCTGCAGAAAATCCTCATAATTTCATCTAAAATCTAGTTAAAAGGGCACTGATTGGCTCTGAAACATCAGGGGAGACAACGATGTACAGCTGTGTGTCATCAGCGTAGCTATGGAAACAGATGCTGGGCCTCCTGATGCTGTTGCTAGGCGGCGTAATGTAAAGATTGAAAAGTGAAGGACCCTAAAATTCAACCTTGAAGAACAACGTAATTCATTTTATAGCTTTTAGATAAACATTTATGCATGCGTACAGGAAAGGCCCGTCAATGAGAAAAGATGGAAACCAATTAAAACGGTTTCAAAGAGGACAATCTGTCTGAAAGAATCGAGTGGACGTCTACAGTATCAAGAGCTGCACTTAAGTCCCGTTGCACTTACACAGATGTCCTATTTATTTATTTATTTATTTTTACAGTTGTTATACATGTTGCATATAAGCTACATGATGAGTACTCTGGTCTCTTCATCTCATTTTTATGAATTATCTTCAGATATTAAACCAGAATCCGTTGTTGTCGATTTAGACTTGAATGTAGCTGCAACTAAAGCTGCACTGATCAAACCTGAAAAATGAGATTCATTACAAATCCTGACAGTTTGTCTACTTAACAACTTAAAAGTAAGTTGCACAATTAGAAGAAGATGTGTTAAATTGAATCAATCTTCCATAAAAGTTAGAATAAACTATCCAAATGATATCCAGTGCCGTTCATTCAGTCTAACTGGAGCTGCACAAAAGCAACAGTCTGGCTCATCATCTTCAGAGTTCAGCGTCTCTTCTTGGCTTATTTGACGAGAACCTCATTAGAGCGGGGAGATGTGTAGCAGCTTTGTCATCTTGGTGCGGTTTCGGCATCAATATGCATGTGTGTGTTTATGTGTCAGGATTTTAAGTTACTGCAGAGACTTTTGTGCTCCCATTGGCTGCACTGCACTTCCTCTCTGCTGAGTTGTTGTGGCTGCACAGTCGAGGGAGGTGTGTGTGTGTGTGTGTGTGTATGTGTGTGTGTGTGTTCAGGATATGCTGAGGGCACAGGGGTGTTGGTGTCGAGGCGCTCGGTGCAGATCTCCGGGCATGACGCTAATGAGCAGATCTGCGCTCGAGGCTTTCACATGAATTGCCATAATTAGTTAACTGCTCGGTGATGGGTTAAAGCACAAATATTGTTGATTTGTTAATGAGGTGCACTGAGACGTGGAAACAGTGGCTGCGACGCACAATGCTCACCGTAGCCTCCTGATAAGATGAAGTTGTCTGTGCAGAACTGTGGGGCTGTTATGTAACTGACAGTTGCTCTCAAATGCATCATTTAATTGAGTCATAATGTATTTTTTTTTAAGGTTATTACCATTTTTGCAGTTTTCTACATTGACAGGAATAATAACTACACACACACTTTCTTGCTGTTTTGGAGTTTTGCTTATTATTAGGTCGCTTTCAGACTTGTTTAATGGTTCTGTGTTTACTTTTGCCTCACAGCAAAAACTAAAAAAGCTGTTTAAATATTCCAGTCTGATAAGTTTAAAAAAAAATACTCAGATTTTCGGAAAAAAACTCTTATTTGTTTTCATGCTTGGATAAAAAAAAGTTGGATCCTGCGCTCATGACTGTGCAGCTAAAGCTGGGAGGCAGTTAGCTTAGCTTAGCATAAAAACTGGAAGCGGGTGGAAACAGCTAGCGCATTATCTGTCCAAGTCAGACACCTCTGAAGCTCAGTGACTGATCCGTTGTTTTGTGTTTGTTTAATCCTTCAGCAAATAGAAATAGTGCAAATCACATGTTTACACTGTGATCACGCCTATATTTAATGTGTGTATCAGTTGTTCAAATATGTGTCCATACTCCAGTCGCACTACAAGTGATACGACTGCAGACAGTGACTGATGTGTTCAGACTGCTCATGTAGTTAGATAGATAGATAGATAGATAGATACTTTATTCATCTCCAAGAGAAATTTACAGTTCCAGCAGCTTCCAAGAAGGGAACACAGGGGCATGCAGTGTTCTAGTACAATAAAATAAAAGGAATAGTAGTATGATAAATAAAAAGATACAATATAGTAACTAGTAACTAGTTGCACAGTTTTGTTTGTTTGTTTGTTTTTTAGCTTTGGCTGCCAGAAAATGAACTCAATATTGAAATTGTGTTTTTATTAATTATGTACTTTATGCTGTTTTGGCAAGTTTTCCCTCAACAAGTGTTTAATACTTTACTTAGAAGCATTATGTCGCCTACATACACTCACTGTAGCTGCTTAAATGTTCAGATGGGTGACAAATTAAAGGAAAACCCAACATAAAGAGCCACCAGAGCAACTTCAGAGAGCACCGGTTTAGAGTTCAGGTGATACGCCAAAAGATGATGTTCGCTTTGTAATCAGAGTCTGAAACTCTGTACACTTTAGGATCCATCACAAAAACAACTTTAAAACACTGTTTTACTTTCCGGCATAACCTAATTACATATTAAATCATAGGTTTACCTACAACGAAACAATCAAACATCTCTCCTAAATTAATGTATTTAACCCTATTCAGGACTTTTGGAGTCTTTTGGACCTCAGGCCATTTGGTTTAGGTGACAGGTATTGTTTTTTAAATGTAAAAAAGAGGGACATGTGTCATGCATTTGAAACCAAAAATACATCAACTTATCAGAAAATGTATTTGAAATCGTATAAAAGTCTATAATGAATACCAACAGATATTCTGCACATATGCTTCCTTGGGGTCCAGTGGACCCTGAAAGACCTCCTACGTATGGCAACATGAAAGTCCTGAGTAGGATTAAAGCAAACCTTTCTGTTAGACACATTTTTTAAACTCATGAGGTCATGTCAAACGGTATTCGACTCTTTACAGTCACTGAATTGTTCGTGTTAATGAACAGAAGGATTTTTTTTTTTGAAAGGACTTTTAAAAATGTATACAAAATGATTTGTAGTCACGTTATGATGACGTCTAAACATCTTTAACTATTCTCCTGAACAGTGATGATCTTTGACCATCAAAACATATGCAGAAATCTCCTTGTCTGTTATTTTTATGTTTGATTTGTAAGATATGGTGCAAAATACATTTTTGCAATGGGACAATTTTGGAAAATGTTCCGAGCCCTAAACTGTACAAGTGTAACAAGTTTAATGCGTTTTATGAAAACATGAATCTCCACTTTGGCACAAATCACCTGGACTACAACACATCACTCAAGTGTCACCGTTTTTAAACACATCAAACTAATCATTGACTCCTTGTATCCTGTTTGGAGGCACACGCTTTATGTTTCTCTTTTGTTTGTCAGTCCTCTGTCTGATTTGTTGCACTGCTTTTGTATTGAATAGTCACTTAACTGTTAATATGATGATCAAGTTAGTAAAATATTACAGAAGTCTGACCGAAGACGTCCTTGGAATTGTATAATCTTCTTTGTTACGTGACTCAGCTTTATGTTGTTCTGGTTAAAAAATCATTCAAAGTTATGATTCCTGCCGCCTCTATCTGACTTTCATCCACCTAATGTGTGTCGTGTTCCT